AAGTACCTGTATTTAACAACAAAACTAACTATATAGCAGTCTTCACAAAACAATTTTAGTCTAACTTTAAGATGTAGATACATAAGTTATTAATAGTTTAATTATCACCATCAAAATATTCTTAAATATATTAAAATTTTCTCAAATTCAAAATATTTTTAAATTATCGTATTGTTTTTGCATTTGGCGTTAATTTAAAATATTATGATGTATCTTACAACTTAACTACCCTTTTCGGCTATTACAATAATAGTTATGTGATTTACATAACTATATTGATCACAACTATATTCATCATCATCATCATTACAGTCTTTCATAAGTCCACTGCTGAACATAGGCCTCCCCCAAGGAATGCCACAAAGCACGGTCCTGAGCCACCTGCATCCATGGACTTCCCCATCGGTTGTCGGTTCTTCGAGCTATATGACCGGCCCACTGCCACTTCAGCTTACTAATCCGTTGGGCTATGTCGGTTACTCTCGTTCTACTGCGGATATACTCATTTCTAAGTTTATCACGCAGAGAAACCCCGCGGAATGCCCCCTCCATAGCTCGCTGAGCGACCTTGAGCTTCCTCATACGGCTAGCAGTGAATGACCACGTCGCAGATCCGTAAGTCATCACTGGCAACACGCACTTGTAGTACAATTTCGTTTTAAGGTTTTGAGGTATGTCTGACGAGAAGATGTGTCTTAGCTTCCCGAACGCTGCCCAGCCGAGTTGAATCCGTCGATTGACCTCTCGGTCGAAGTTGGACTTACCTAGTCCGACTATTTGTCCCAGGTAAACATACTCGTCAACAACTTCGAGCTTAGTGCTCCCAACAACTACCGGCATAGGTGTGACATGGACATTAAACATGATCTTTGTTTTGTCCATGTTCATCCTAAGATCTATTCGTTGGGAGACACTGTTGAGGTCATTGAGCATGTGGTTGAGGTGCTTAGGTCCTCCGGCGATTCTGCCGTAAGGTCTATATCGTCGGCAAATCGAAGGTGAGTGATGTACTCGCCATTGATGTTAATACCGTATCCTTTCCAGTCCAGAAGATTGAAAACGTCTTCCAATGCAGCGGTGAAGAGTTTCGGGGATATAACATCACCCTGTTTTACACCTCTCTGCAATTGGATAGGTTTCATACTCAGGTTCTGTACTCGGATAGCCATCGTAGCTCTACTGTACAAACACTTCAGCACTTCGATATACCGATAGTCAACTTGGCCCCGCTGAAGGGACTGCAGCACCGCTCAAATTTCGACGGAATCAAAGGCTTTCTCATGGTCCACATACGCCAGACATAGTGGTAAATTGTACTCCTCGGACTTCTGTACAATTTGCCGAAGGGTATGTGCGTGGTCTATGGTGCTTAAGCCCTTTCGGAAACCGGCTTGTTCGGGAGGCTGGAAGTCGTCAAGTCTGCGCGCGAGAAGATTCTTAATGACTCTCGAAAACAGCACGCAGACGCGCCTCAGAAGGAAAATCTGTCTGTAGTTCTTCAAGAGAGCGTTGTCGCCTTTCTTGAAGAACAAGACCACCATACTTCTGCTCCAAGCCTCCGGTGTAATGCCACCATAGAGAACGGAATTAAAGAACTTCTGAAGGACTTCAAGTACAGGTCTTCCACCCGCTTTCAGAAGCTCCGCTGTAATTCCATCCTCGCCTGGGGCCTTGCCGTTTTTAAGGTGCTGGAGAGCCATTCTAATCTCACTCAGACTGACGTCCGGGATATCATCGGAATAGTGTCGGATTAGACTCGCTCTTGGATCGTTACTCACACTTGCGCGTGGCTCCAACGATGACGTGTACAGCTGCCCATAGAACCTCAATCTCACTCAAAATCTCAGGTGTCCCGGAAACGATACTGCCACACTCGGTTTTTTCTTGAATTTGAGTGATTAAAGTAACTTCGTTTGCAAGTAATTTACGTAAATTTGTATAGTGATTGCATTTTGCAATATTTAATTTGCTTGTGTGACGTGGTATCGTGCGCGCACGCTGATTCGAAAGATTGCCTGGAATTTGATGCTCGCATTCCATTTCGAGGGCGTGGCCCGGTTAATTGTTTTTGGAAGTTAATGTTGAATTGTAACGTCTCGTTAAGTGCCTTTTTTGTTTGTTGACTATTTTCGTTCGTTTTACGTGTCAACGAGGCTGATTTTGAGTTCTGATTGCGGACGTGGTATTTCAATATCGTACGAAAGAATTTTGGCTTGTCGTGGGGAGCGCTGAACTTTGTGACGCGAGAAGAGACCGCGGTCGTTCCCGTGTTGGTAATTTTGTGCTGAGTGAGCCCGGAACATTGAACATTGAATTTTGAACGAGTGTTCGTTACTTGTGTCGTGTGTCACTTGTTTTGATTTCGATGAACGTTGAGTTGGTTAACTTTGAAGTTCATTAAATGTACAATGATGTGAATGATCAACAGCTACAGTGAAGTGAAAGCAGAAGTTTTCAATTGGTGAACGCCTCCCTGGAGGGATCTCACATTTGGAGAGAAGCAGCGCCTGGGGATCTGCGGTCCGACTTCAACGGTTAAGTCAGGTTACATTGTACACACTACTACACACTACTTACATGCATCTCATTTATCACCTGACTGGTACCATGTGGTCAACCCTACCTCTGGAGATCGGTAAGTTTTAGTTGGCTTAGCAGCCCTTATATCTATATGTCTAAGAAGTCTCCATAGGCCATTTGGGCCTCGTCCTCTGTTGCCTGTCGAAGTGGCTACTTTGGTCCCTAGCCCAATCGGCTTTTGTCGGGGCAACTCAGGGCGTGAACATGCCTGTATGCTGTCAAATCTGTTGAACAATGTAGCTTCATCTCTCGTCTAACAGCTATGAGATGGAGAGTGTGATCGGAGAGTTTTTGTGTTCTTTTTCGGCGGGTCTTGCAGAACTTAGCTCCGACCGCATGGACAGTTTCCACGAGCTTGTCTTTCATATCCTTCACTTCATTGCAGTCTTCTAGGCACTGAAAACGGTTTTGTAACTCGAGCTGAACGGTTTCGGGACTTTGGAACAGAGCATGAGGGGGATGGAGCGTTGACTTCATTAGACGAGACCTCTCCAACTTAACGTTTAGGTTCAGTGTGCCTCTAACCATTCGGTGATCGCTACCAGTTTTCACCCTCGCGATCACGGAGACATCACTGAACAGTTGTCGTCTGGTCGTCATAATGAAGTCAATCTCATTTTTTGTCGAACCGTCGGGGCTCGACCAGGTCCACTTCCTGTGGGGCCGCTTCTGGAAGAAAGAGTTCATCATAAAGAGTCCCTCTTTCTCCATGAAGTCGGCCAGCTGCTGGCCCCTTGGGTTCCGTTGCCCTATTCCAAATTTACCTACTTTTAGTTCACCGTTTTCTCTTGTGCCTAGTTTTGCATTGAAGTCTCCCATTAACACCGTATATTGGGGTTTGGAGGAATGCATGGCTCTAGAGATATCCTCATACATTTCCTCCACCTCCTCATCGGGGTTTGCCGAGGTTGGTGCTTAAACCTGTATGATCTTCAGCGAATACCGTTTGGTGATTCTGAGTATAAGGTACGCAACCTTCGTCGACACACCCCCGATCTTTACAACGTTGTTAACGAGAGACTTGTGGACGATAAATCCGACACCTCCTTGGGACAGATGGTCGCCCTCCCGGTGATAGAGCAAGTTGCCGGATTCGAGGATTACCGTGTCCTCTCCCTCTCTTCGGACTTCGGATAATCTTATAATATGCCAGCGTAACTTGTCTATCTCTTCTTCCAGCTCCACGATCTTCTCGTCAGTCCTCAAGGTGTATGTTGCAAGCTCGAGGCGTCTTAGGTGGCAACCGAACCTCCACCGGAGATTCTTAACACCCCCTGCCCCGCCATTACCATGGTCGCCACCGTAGCCAGGAAAAGCGGGGCCGCCGGGGACTGGGGGCCGTTTCTTTGTTACTCTCATCATAGGGGGTATTTGCCATAGTTGCAACGCTTGGCGAGCGGGTTGGCAACCGCAGTTTTTTTATTGTAAGTTTGTTGTTATCAGGAAGATGCTGCTGCCCATCTCCTGCTTGTTTCCCTTTGTCGCCTTTTACGACACCCACGGGAAGATGGGGCAGTGGATATTCTTAACCGCCACTAGACGTGCCGTGTAGTGGCAGTTAAGAATACCACTATATTGATTATAATTATTCAAAATTATAAATTAAATTTATTTACATAACTTAAATATTATAAAATTCTAAATAGCAAATTGTTTTGGTTGTAGCTAAATACATTTTGAAATAAAGCGCGCACACAACGAACGAATCGCGCTATTTCTCTTTTGCTCGCTCACGCTCACTTGATCCGTTCATATACAGCAGGCAGCAGCCCAAACTCGAGTTACGGAGATTCAACTCGAGTTAACTCGAGTTAAACGCAACTCGAGTTAAACGCAACTCGAGTTAACTCGAGTCAGCAACTTGAGTTGACCCATCACTACTAGAACCCAGAGCCGTAAAGCCAGTTATTAAAAAAGTTATCTATGATTGTGTTTGTTTGGTATCATTTTAGAATTTTTAATACGGATTCGGATTTCCTAAATAAATACTAATTTACTGCGTACATATTAGATTTATTTGGTGTAGAAGAGTTTCTGTAAGGCTTCTAAAAATAAAGGTAAGATTTTAAATTATACACTGCATTTTCAAAGCTTTTCATCAAATGCATACATTTAAATTTTAGGTTATAATTTACAATAATCTTCTAGTTTATTATAAGAAATCTCAATTTATTGACATTAACAAATTAATTTATGATTACTAAATGAACAATGGTGAGCAAAGGTTTCTATATTTGTATTATATATCTCACTCAAACTTACACCCATAGATATACACTATATTACACCGTTTACAAAAGCCGTCAGTGTCATTAAACAAAAAATTTAAAGAACTTCGTTAAAATAATATAAGACTACATATTAAATTTATATAAACAACAGAACATTGTGAAACAACATACTTCAACGAAAATTGCAGAATGTCGAACCAAGAAGACGCACCTTTGCCGGAGGGTTGGGAGATGCGAACCAGCCGATCAACGGGTATGACGTACTTTCTAAACATTTACACAAAAAAGTCGCAATGGGAACGGCCTGAAGCACCAGCTGATCCTGGTGAAGTTCGATGCAGCCATATCTTAGTGAAACATGCTGAAAGCCGCCGGCCATCTTCATGGCGCGAAGAAACAATTACCAGAACCAAAGAAGAGGCTATGGACTTGCTAAAAAGTTACCGTAAGCAGATAGTTACAAATGAATCAACATTTGTGGATATTGCAACAAAATATTCCGATTGTTCATCAGCGAAACGTGGTGGTGATCTTGGAATGTTTGGACGTGGACAGATGCAACAGCCATTTGAAGAAGAAGCATTCAAACTTAAAGTCGGTCAGCTGAGTAAACCAATAGAAACTGAATCTGGCTATCATATTATTTTAAGAACAATGTAGTGAGTTTACAGTACAATGTCAGAAAATATTCTAACAAGAAAAATGTCTTCTATATTAACTTTGCCTAATGAAAGAGTACCTATGTATTTTTTAATATTATACACAGTTATGTAAGGCTGTACCACTTCAAAAACCCAGTAAGTGAAGAAAAAGTGGTTTAAATTTAAAATCTTACAAAGTAATTCTCTACAGAAAATGGAAACACCTGCAATAAATCCTTAATAATAAATAACCAGAAATTTTAATACCTTAAATCCTTTAATGTTGTATCATCATCACCATTACAGACTTTCACAAGTTCTTTGCTGAACAAAGGATCCCAAGGAATGCTAAAAATCATGGTCCTGAGATATCTCCATCTATTGATTTCTTGCATAAGTTACCAGGTTGTCACTCCATCTAGTGAGGGGCTCCAAAACTGAGAAGTAGTTAAGTATTATCATTAAATACCTTTGTCAGATAAAATTTTTTGCAATTTTTTTAGCATGTGAGATTATAACAGCTGCAATTAAAAAGCGTTGTGTATTTATTTATTTTTCGTTATTATTTAAAGGTTACAAGTAAAGTATGTAATAATTACAGAAGACTTAAATTTACTACAATATAACTCATTCCGTAGCCAGGAAAGTGTACAACCAGTGCATGTTGCCAGTGATGACCTATGGAACTGAAACATGGTCCTTCACTGCTGGCCGGATGAGGAAGCTCAAGGTCGCTCAGGGAGCTATGGAGAGGGCTATGCTTGGAGTTTCTCTGCGTGATAAACTTAGAAATGAGGATATCCGCAGTAGAACCAGAGTGACCGACATAGCCCAACGGATTAGTAAGCTGAAGTGGCAATGCTCCGGCCATATAGCCCAAAGAACCGACAACCAATGGGGAAGAAAGGTTCTCGAGTGGCAGCCTCGTACCGGCAGGTGAAGTGTTGGGCGTCCCCCCACTAGATGGAGTGACGACCTGGTAAGACATGCAGGAAGTCGATGGATGCTGTTGGCTCAGGACTGTGCTTTGTGGCATTCCTTAGGGGAGGTCTATGTTCAGCAGTGGACTTGTGAAGGGCTGTAATGATGATGAAGATGGTGATGATGATAACTCATTTGTCATATTTACATGGTATCAAGTGTCATACTGCAAGATATATAAGACACAGTGAATGATAGTACCACACAGAATAAATAAATTTACATTCTATATACGTCTCAGTGTTGTGCACAGGTCTCTGCTCATTTCTTAGAGGGTTCTGTAATGATTAATCCTCAGCACTGCTTCAGTGCTTATTGGCAGAATTCGCATTACTTGAAATATGTTGTTTGTCTTTAATTTTTTAGACTGAAAGATTTCCTCAAGTTGCTGGTCTTGTCCACCGAGCATGTGGTAAATCAACACAAATTGGCAAGTAATAATTTCTTCGGTGCTGATGGTAATCTTATAGGGATAATAAGAGTCAAAGTTATGGTCTTTACATTAACCATCTTGTCCTATGTCAGATGTAAATTTCCAGGATTGTCCAAGGTTAGCATTATTAAAGGTTGTTTTTTTCCTACTATTCTAAGCCAGTGCTTGACTATTATTCCACCTGATGGTAAGTGGTGATGCATCCGAAGATAGCAAAGTGCACCGACTTAACAAAAGCCTGTTCACTCTTGCCTTGAAAACACTTGCTGTGTAATCGGATGGAAAAACAGTTGATAGCAACTCATTCCACTCCTTAGCTACAAACAATGAAGCAAACCGGTTTTGAATTAAAGGTGAATGAGTTCTGATATTGCGATCATTAACCTGCTTACCAAACTTGGCGATTACCGCAATTCCTCTTGAATTTATTTATTTCATCCTAAGCATGTAAAGGTACACTGCTGGACATAGGCCTCTTCCGGTGTAGCAAGAATTTGTCGTAATCTTAGTAATAGGCAGAGGGATTGAAAATTGCAACCGTCACGCATCTTTGATGCTGTTGCCCGTCGCTAGTCTGAGTATTATATGTCTGGAGTAAACGAGATGGTCTCCGGCAAGAAGATGCAAAATTTCTCACAGCTAAGCAACTCCCTGTTTATTGAGGATGTAAGGCTTAGCATTGAACTATAGACATAGCAGCAATCACAATAGATCTTTTAGGTGATACTGATATCTCTCTAGACCTGCATAGCTGCTTGCATATAATTATAAATAAATGACATGGTTATTAGGCAATATATGGGAATTATTATTAACACATCGTCCCCATATTTATACTATTTTAATTGGTCGTGTTAGATGACATGGGGTTAACCTTAAAGCATTCTCTGCTCGTCATTCCTGGCCATGGTGAAAAAATACTAAAGGTGCTTTGTAAATCGAAACCTAAGGGGGATATTTAATATAGTTGTCATGCTTTGCGGGCAGGTTCGTACATACATACATACATACATATAATCACGCCTCTTTCCCGCAGGGGTAGGCAGAGACCACTTCTTTCCACTTGCCAGGATCCTTACATACTTGTTTCGCTTCGTCCACTTTCATTATTCTCTTCATACATGCTCTACGGTTTAGGGTGCTCTTGACCTGGCCTTTTTTCAAAACGTCCCTGATTTGGTCTTGAGATGTCCGCCTAAGTCTACCCCTTCCAGCACTTTCATTCACACTCGCCTTATACACTTTTTTCGTCAATCGTTCTTCATTCATTCTCTCGACATGGCCAAACCATCTCAGCATACGTTTCTCAATTTTTATCACTACATCTTCTTTCAGACCACAACGTTTCCTTATCTCATTATTTCTTATCTTGTCACTCAGTTTAACTCCTATCATACTTCTTAACGCTCTCATCTCAATTGCATTTATTCTGCTTTCGTGTTTCTTCTGCCATACCCAACTTTCACTTCCGTACATGAGTGTCGGAACCAACACCCCCTCATGCACAGCCAAACGAGCCTTGTTAGTCTGTTGTCTAACAGGCTCGTTTACGTAACTAAACACCATTAGACTCCATTCACCATGTTTCCTGCAGTCACTCTTCTTTCGATATCACTCTCACACTTTCCATCTCTTGTAAACTTTGAACCCAGATACACAAACTCTTTCAGCTGTTCAATTTGTTCATCTCCAATCACGATATTGCAGTCTGTCACTGCCTCATCTCTTTCAAACACCATCACTTTCGTCTTCCTTACATTCATCTTCATTCCCTTCCTAACAAAAGTTCCACTCATAGTAGTTACCATTTCCTGCAACTCCTCGGCCGAAGACGCAAGTAATACTTGGTCATCAGCATAGAGAAAACATTTGACGAGTAACTCATTCATTCTCAACCCGCTTTCATTCTCTTTTAAATCTGTGAAGCAATTGTCCATGAACAGATTAAACAGCCACGGTGACGCTACACATCCCTGTCTAACACCTTTTTCGATATTAAACGTAAAAGTATGCCCCGTTTATCCTTACACAAGCACTAAAATCCCTATGAAGAGATTGCAATGCTCGTACGAGGATACTGCTCACACCGTTCACGGACAGTGCTGACCACAATTCATTCCTCACCACTCTATCATAGGCCTTTTCTAGTCCACGAACGCGCAATAAAGCAGGTTGGTAACCAAAGTTTCTTATTTCGTTTTGAGTTGTTCTCAGCAAAGTGCTGCTGCTCAACTATTTCATTTCTTACACCCACGGGATGATATGCGATAGTGAATTCTTTTACGCCTCCACTGCACGGCACTTAATAGCAATTATAACTGCAAGAAGCAGCTGCAAGGAAGCTGGGAGTCCTTGGAAAGGTGCGGCGATACTTCACGCCGGGACAGCTGCTTACTTTATATAAAGCGCAAGTCCGGTCGTGCATGGAGTATTGCCGCCATATATGGGCTGGTGCTGCAAAATGCCACCTAGCAGCTTTGGACTCAATGGAAAGGCGTGCTAAGAGTCTTATTGGTGACCCGAATTTGATTAAAACCAATCTTACCAGCCTCGAACACAGACGTAAAATAGCCAGCCTTTCGGTTTTCTATAGGATGCATTTTGGAGAGTGTGCACAGGAATTGCATAATTTAATTCCTCCCTCCCACTTCCACCATCGGACAACCAGACGTTCGGCCAGTCTCCACCCTTTCGTTGTTGACTTACCACGCATTCGAACCAAACGGTTCGCCACGTCGTTCATCATGCGTACAGCAAAGGAGTGGAATAAGTTGCCAGCATCTGTCTTTCCATCCGATTACAGTGTGGGTGTCTTCAAGGCAAGAGTGAATAGGCTTTTGTTAAGTCAGTACGCTTCACCATCTTAGGCTATATCACCACTTACCATCAGGTGGGAATGGGATCGTAGATAAGCGCTGGCTTAGTAGAATATAAAAAAAGAGTATTATGTACTTACCAAGATTATAATATTTTCTAACTTATAAAAACGTATAAGCCGTGGTATATTTCACAGTACGCGAGCAAACCGGGTTCGAACCCCACCGGTACTAATGAAATTGTTAATTGCAATTTTATGTGCTGATTTACCACGTGTACGGCGGTGAAGGAAAACATCGTGAGGAAACCTGCATGTCTTAGAAATAAGAAAAAAAATTTCAAATCATGTGAAGTTCGCCAACTCGCATTGGGGCAGCGCGGCGAACATTTCCTTGCCCTAAAACCCTCTCAGATATGAGAAGAGGCCTGTGCCCAGCAGTGGGACATATACTATAACTTTTATAAAAAGTTGGTAGAACAGTTTTAATAAGTTTTAATCGTTTTTTTTTTTAATTATTTTGCTGTTTAAAATTTGGTATTATCCAAATAATTATACTTACATCCACCTTGAATTATTTTTAAACAAGTAAAGTGTGACAAAAGTGGGTACTCACCACAGAGTACCTTTGGTACTCACCCAGACAAAATTATGGTAAGAGTATACTGTGGCCCATAGATGTAGGTAGGTAGGTACATCTATCCTCGATTATGAATCGAAGTGAGTTGTCACCTCGGTCCTATTATATTGTATTCTATACTATATCCACAATAAAACAACTGTCATGTGA